TTCCGGCCCGTTTTATTATTGAACCCTTCCACAGCATAAATTGCATAAATGAGGCCGTAAATATGTTCGGAGATTCGATCGGAATGCAGAATGAAAAGGGCAATAGTTGGAACATCCTTCTGACACTATCAATTCACCAACAGACCGTTCAGGCGTAAACAATAATCTCATGCCTGTTTATTTACATTTCTATTTTTTGAAATTTCCTAATAAATGACTCAAGTAATTTTTTTGCCCAATTTCGGTTTTACTGATAAGAAACCGCTTTAACTGATTGATAACAATAATTTTTCCTTGTTAAAATTGCTTTAAATCAATTTTGAAAACTCTTGTGTTCTCGAGTGTATGTTTATTTATTTTAATTTTTTGTTCGAATTATCGTCTTGGTAAATATATTTTAAATATATTCCAAACGATCTTTAATCGGGTTTTCTTTCAGAACTCCTCGAAAATTTACTTACCTGGGGTAAATTTCCAGATGTGTCGAAAATATTGAAAAGACCAAAACGAAATCGCAATCAGTTCCCTGATAAAATTGGATCCCACGACTTGGCCAATTCGCACAATTTGATAAGGCGTCTTGGTCCAACCTGGCAGATTTATTCCAATTTAGAACAAAATCATAGCTATAAACTTTAATAAATCCTCATGAAATGAAAAATGATATCCTGTGATATTTAAAACCGTTACAATCCAATTTTTTTTGCATATATATTTTTGGTCCATGATTTTCGATTGTATTTAATCATGAGTAAAGTTGTGTAGATAACACAAAAACAAGATCCGTAAGGAAAAAAAAACGTGTTTTCAAATGAATCATTTCGAACAAGGAACTCAATTAGAAATCATTACACGTAAATTCTGCAGTACGGTTGAGCAATAACAAATCAAAAAATTAATTTTAAGCACGCGAAAGAAAAATACTCTTTAATTACATATTGTACTTGGATTGAAAATTATAGCATTTTTCATAAGATTTTCACTTCTGAAAAACCTTCACAATCGTAAAAGCTACTGGAACGATTATTCAGTATTTGTGTTAGTTTCCTGCCTTATCAAATCTTCGTTAACATGTTAAAATCAAATAACATATTAGTTTAAACTTAAATTCAATTTTTGAAACCAAATTGAACAGGATTCTAATTAAATTGTCGCCTAGCATTGAAAATTTCTTGTTTTGGTTCAGTGCTCAAATTAAAAACGCTTTTTCACGGCTTGGTGATAAAAATCGTTCTTAAACTATTTACCCAGACAACTTATCAAGGTTTCTATTATTTTGGAGAAATCGACAACCTAAGAAAAAAGCCGATAAGTTTTATCCTCTTTATCTCATCGGATCCGACCTGTGCAGAAACGGAAACATTTCAAATTTGAGATTACGGTCGAATGTTACTCATCTTTGTTTTGACATCAAAAATGCAGTTAAGCTGCAGATAACTGGATTTTCTTGTTTTTATTTTTTAGAAAGTGGTCATGTCTTCCTTTATAGAATGGTAGTTATTATTCAAAATTAGTTTCACATGACGAAACCCGTTTATTCAACACTGGTGGGATTATTGTTTCCATAATCACCGTGAGATCTTTACATGTTGAAACAATTTTTGTCATTAAAAAATTGCACTTTGGAGGTTTTTTAACGTATTGGTTCAACAACAATAACGAATTAGACCAAATGGCGAATACTTTAATCACCCAGGTTTTAGATATACCAGTTTCCTTATCCTTATTCCTTGATAAACAAAGAAAGGACGGAAACGCTAATAATACCGTAGACACACGATGAACTAATTTACATGAAATTACATTTAATTATATACTAACAAAATATAGTATACATAGTACCAAAATATTGAGTTGTTTTATGTATTTATTTAAACGTTTGGTAGAAGAAATCGTTGTTCAAGTGGTTTAATTCTAAAAAGAGAAAAGCTTCATACAACTTTTACTTTTCCTGTTGAAAGTTACCCCAGGAAGAAAGTGAGTGAAGTGGTAATCTGAAGTAGCTGGGTCGTTTATTGGATGAGTTGGTTGAAACGACATGATGAGTGTTTCCGTGGTAGATGTCGGTTTTGTGTGCGGGGTGAACGAGGTAAATTGATTCGATAAATAATGAGAGTTCGATAAATCTTTTGGTATTGCGTGGTTTTACTGAGTACCTTCGAACTGGATGAGCAAGGTCAGGGATGATGTCTACCGTTTACTATGTGCAGTTATGCCGTATACGTTCTGGCCAATTTAACCATGGAACAGATTTGCAGATTGAATGGGCTAAGATCTGGGTGTTCGCTTAGTTGAGAGAGACAGTTGAAATCCAAGTTCGATAACGGTTGAGACAGTACGCGGTGCGATGTACAGTGACGGTTAAAATCTAATTTGTACATCTTGAATGTGACGTGGTACTGTATAGCATCATTCGACCAGAACACCCAGGGACCGAGAAATGATAATCTGAATGAGCGAGGTCTTATTATATATCTAGCATGTACTATGTGCAGTTTTGCTCGGTTATGCTGTGAACGCTCTGGTCAGTTCAGCCTTGGACGTGAGTGGCAGTAGTAGAAGTGGAGAGTTAGTCTGAATGATCTAAGGATTGGGCTGTTTGCTTAGATGAGAGAGATAGTTGAAGTACGAGTTTGTTAAATCTTGAGGTGAGATTTGGTGCGGTTTGGCGATGTTTGTGCTCGATCCCTTTCAGCCAGAGTAGCCTAAATGTGCGAAGTCTGGGCTCTTGGCTGGATGAGAGAGATTGTAACCGAGTTCGATAAACCTTGAGATAGGATGCGGCATTGTGTTTTTATGCTGGGTTTCTTTCCGCTAGAGTTGCCAAGGACCGATGATGATGATAAGAGGATCTGGGAAGCGATATACCTCAAAGCCTTCTGGCGTATTATATTACCTAGTTCCTCCTTCAATTGATTCGATCCTTCTTTTAAGAACTAGTATGTCATTGACTGTCATCCTGCATTATTCTTGGTCTTCTTGGTATCCTAGGTTAAATCTCCATTGACTATTTACTTCGAATTCGAAGATCATATGGTTGGCAGTTTCTTCCTCCTCATTGCGCAACTTTAAAATGGAGTTGTATTGAATATACTACAATAGGTGTTTTCTCAGAGGCGTAGTGCTGCATTGCGTGGCTGGGCCTCTTTCGGATAGAGTAGCCACAGACCTAAGTGGTAATACGAATAATCGAAATCTATCTTTGTGGGCTGATTATATGTTTGTCGTGTACTATGAGTAGTTTTGCTTGGTTGTGCTGTGTACGTTCTGGTCAGTTTAGCCCTGGAACAGAGTGGTAGTCTGAATGAGCTAAGGCTTGGGCTGTTTGCTAAAGATAGGAGTTTAAATAAGAAAGTGGTTGAAAAACATAGTTTAAAATAAGTTGGTGTTTTCGAAATGCATTTTTTTAATGACAACTGTAATAAAACTATAGTCAGTAGGCTTTTAAGCAGTACGACGAGTGCCCTTCTAAAACAACAATTCTGTAGCTTTTCAAAACCATTTCATTTTAATGCCTACTATTTTCACTTCATTAAGAATCAAGTCCCTTGTCCAATTATATATTAAAAATCATAAAAGATAGTCTACAATACAAAAGACTATAAAAATCGCGAAGAAATAAGAGATGCAATGGAAAACCCATTCAGGGTTCATTGTTAAAAAATTTCCGAAACCTTCTTGAAGTTGAAAAACATTTCAAGAATATTAGTAATAACTCACCTTCTCTTTATCTTCGGCCATAATTAGTTATGTAGAAATACACATATGGAACTGTAAAAGGTATGAACGGGTTTGTTTTAGGATCGAAGCAACTTGCAAAACAAACGATTTGGATTGACTAATGTGGTGAGGACTGCGAGGGCATGGATTGTCCAAGATCATCCTGATCTGTAGCCCCTCTGGTTGCCGGTCAGATACGCCATTTCACCGCGTTCAGTAGTCGGTCTGTGTGTTATTCTGTCAATCGGGTCCGAAAAAATGCAAGTATTTGAGTCTGTTAGATTTGTGTCTTAAAATTGTATGAATATGTGGTATAAAATATACATAATAGTAGGTATTAAATTTATACTGAAATATGTATAATTTTTTTGTAAATTAAATAAATAAACGCGTTGATTTCAGTTAACCTAGTCTATACTTGAAAAATGCAAAGAAAGAATATCACATAAAATGCATCAATAGAAATAAAAAGGACACATGTAGCCAAAAACATTCGAATAATGGTTTAATTGAAAATATCGATTAATTTGATTAAGTTCAATAAAAAACATACACAAAAAGAGTTAATTTTGTATACAGGCGGTATAAGATAAGAACTGTCAAGAATGATAGTTCAGAGGCATCTGTCGGAGAAGATTAGAGAAAGGTGCACCAGATCGCCAACAGAATGAGTAAACGACTGTGTTGTACATATAGCTTTTGTGATTAACCAATTATTTTGTTATTGAACAATTATTAACTTTTTACCTATCTAAAAATTTACGTATGTGCATTTTTACGCACAATTTTTGCTAAAATCAAGCTGTCTTGAGACATTGATCGATTTTAAGAAGTATAAATCGATATCTAGTCGATATATGATTTAATTTATATTTAAACAATATAAATTCCATTTTTTTTTAATTTTGATATTCGGTTTTTATTTCGTACGTAGTGTAGTAGATAGTTGTATGTAGAGCATAATATGCTGTGTTCTAGAATTGTGTATGTAACTTTTAGTACATAACAGACCGATCTGACAAATTTACAATATACATATTATATTGGTAATATTCATTCTATGTAAATCATAATTTTATGTAGGAGGGGGGGATTTTAGTTCAAACGTCATATTGTGTCTCGTTCGCATAGATGCATATGAGCGGTTATGTCACCTACAAAAGTGTAAGAATTTAGTACCTTAAAAAAAACAAAAAACAAAAACATTACACATTACAATTACGACTAAAAACCTCCAGAATTTTCGTTTATTGTAAAGGATTCTCTATTAACCTAGCGTCGTGGCGCATGCCCAAATGTGCACGGTTAAATCGATGCATTCCAGGCTGTTGAAACAGTTGTGTCCCTCACTGAAAAAGTGTGGACTGAGATGGATGGAATTCAGGAGGAGAATCAGAAGAATCGACCGGAGACCAAGTTCGAGAGAGTTCGACTCTAAGGCTAACATCCAGTAAGACACGCAACTATTTTCTAAACAAGAAAACTAAAAAAAAAAAGAATTGATTACAACACGTCTATATTGTTCACACGATGATACTGATTTGTACCAAGGGATTTTCAACGGATGGACAAAGGTTCTTCAAATTTTACGTGACAACTTGAAGATTTATGGCGATTTATTTTCATCAAACTTAACAACACACTAGAAACTCAAGAAGCTTGATCCGGCTAAGTTTGTCCTTGTCCACATTAAATTTAAAATAAGTCAATTTTTATAAAATGAAACATCTAGTTTGAACAGTAGAAAACCCCCCTAGGAAGAACAGACTCAACCGAATAAAAGTGGCGAAATGACTAAACTCGTTAAAAAAAACAAAGCCTAAACAAACGGACCAGAATGTTTTAACGATTATGGACAATTATGGTGGATATGAAATTAATAAAATTTTATATTCAATCGCATATTGGCTATTTTTTGTCTTTTAAAAAATAAATATATAGTTTGTGATAGGTCCTTTTTTAAAACATCATGCCATTCAAAACAAATTGGATTTTTGAATAGAAAATCCTTATTGATTTTTTCTCGTATATTTTTGAGTTAATTTTTTCAAAAAGTGAATATCTTGTTGGTTTGGTATTTGTTCGTGATCAGAAAGGTCTGAGGAAGATTTTTTTAAATTAGAAATATTATGGTGAAATAAGTAATTACCCAGCTTGTATAGTGCACTCTCGTAGCTTTTCATTACATGCTAATTGTTTTTATGGTCTTTTTAAATAAATCAAGGTACAATGTGTGATAGGTTCTCTTGTAAAAGTACATCAGTCATCAATATTTACACGTCCTTTCTTAAGTTTAAAAAAAATGTTGTTAAATTTGGGTAATATGTTGGTGATAAGAGTGGTATTTTTCAGAAAAATTAGAAAAATTCTGGTGTACAGTGTGGAATTATCAAACTTCTATAATTCATTCTGATAAATTTTCATTATTTCGTCCTTTTTTTTGGGGGGGGGGGCTTTAAGTAAAATGATGTACTAGTTTTTATTAGGTCTGACAAACAAAAAGGGGAAAAATACTAGAATGTTTTGAGGATTTTTCAGACAAATTTGACAAAATGATGGATATGAAATTACTAAAATATTAAAATTTAATCATCCATCGTATCATGAATTCTTTTCTTTTTTTAAATCTTTTTAAATTAATGAAAAAATACCTTGTGATAGGTGGCGCTTTTAAAACTGCATCTTACGGTTCAGAACGAATAAGATTTTTTTGGATCTTATTATTTGGAAGCCCTAGAAGGTTTTTTTTATCGATTTTATGCACGATTATCGCCGATAGGGCAGTTATGCGATTAAATATTTGTACTTTCTCTCTTAATTTGTTAAAAACTAAGTATGTAAAGTCCGGTTGGTTTGCTAGTTTTTCGTTATCTGAATGCTGTGAGGACCATTTTTCAAATTAGAAATATGAAATTAGTAAACTTCTACAGTTCAATATTGTAGTTTTTCATTGCTTCATAGTTTTTGTTTTTTCTCTCTTTTTTTACGAGGGTTCTCAACAGTAGAGGTCATATAAACCTTAAGGGTGCCGGTGTTTTTGAAAAAAGCCCATTTGTAAGTACGTCAGGTTCGAATGCAGGGCCGCTGGATTCGAACCCGGGACCTTTACCTTACAATGATGAGCGCCTCAACCGTTGCGGCCACCGACGCCCCCCCCCAGTTGTTTTTATTTATTTATTTTTTAAATAAATCAATCTACAATTTGTTAATAATTTTCACACTTCCTTTCTTAAAGTTAAAAAATCTGGTGTCCAATTTAGAACTATAATGCACGATTATCGCCGATATGGCAGTTATGTGATTAAATATTCGTACTTTCTCTCTTAATTTTTTAAAAACTAAATATGTAAAATCCGGTTGGTTTGCTAGTTTTTCGTCATCAGAATGCTGTGAGGACCATTTTTCAAATTAGAAATATGAAATTACCAACTTCTATAATTCAATGTTGTAGTTTTTCATTGCTCCCTAGTTGTTTTTATTTAATTTTTTATTTATTTATTGATTTTTTTAATAAATCAATCTACAATTTTCACACTTTCTTTCTTAAAGTTAAAAAAAATCTAGTGTCCAATTTGGAACTATCAAACTGTAACTTCAATCTGATAGATATTCATCATTTCCTTCTAGTGTTTTCCATCTTTTAAAGAAATAATTTATTTTTAAAAATTGCATCTAGCGGTTCAAACAAATAGAAATTAGATTGGAAAGTCCTAGAATTTTTTTATTATACTTTTGCACGATTATCGCCGATTTGGCTGTTAAGAGATTAAAGATTTATACTTTTTCAAGTTTTTTTTACAATTAAATTTATGAAATCTGGGTGGTGTGCTATTTCTTGGATTAATCGAATTTTTATTCAATCTCATAGATTTTCATCATTTCGTTCTTTTTTGAGTCTTTAAGTTACTAAAGTCCTAATTTTTGTTAGATGTGCAAAAACAGAAAACAAAAAAAGGAAGGACGAGATTTTTTTGAAGACGATTTTACAATCAAATTAATCACAATTATGGTGGATATAAAATGATTAAAATTCATTTTTTTAGCATTCCATTCATAACGTTCTAGTTGTTATTTTACTATTATTTACTCATTTTTAAATGTTTATGGCAGGTTCTCTTCACAAATGACACCAGGTGGTTCAGATTCAGAACGAATTATAATTTTGTCGAGAGAAAAGTTTGAAATGATTTTATCTTGTAAACTTAATGCGCGATTATCATCGATTTGACATTTAAGCGAATAAATATCCATACTTTCTTAAGTTTTTATAATTAAATTTGTGAAATCTGGCTGGTGTGCTATTTCTTCATGATAGATTTTTTTTCAAATAAATTATGACGTAATATTTGGACTGAGCAAACTTTTATAATTCAGAATGGTAGCTTTTCATCATATTTCATTAAACTTACAAATGGTACAATAGGTAGATTTTAGGATAGAAAAGTCGTAAATTGATATTTTTTGTTGTCTTTCAACTTGAATATTAGAACGGCATATCGATCCCTCCGGTTGCATATTTTATGAACGTATTCGCCGATTTGGGGTTAACAGAATAAATATTCGGACTTTTTTTCCATTTCCTTTTTAAGTGTTGTTATAACTAAATTCGCCAAACCTGGTTCTATTTGTTCGTGCCCGGACAAATTAGAAAAAATTTAGAGTCCATTTGGATTTATCAACCTTCTATGATTCAATCCAATAGATTTTCATTAGTTCGGTTTGTTTTTATCTTCAAACACAAAGTAAAAGAAAAAAGAGAAAAACGAGAATGTTTTCAGGATGATTTGGCAGTCAAATTAGGCAAAATTATGGTGGATATGAAAATAGTTAAAACTACAGTTTGTCATTTATCTATTCATATTTCTCAAGTGGTTTTTTATTCGTTTATTTTAAATGAATAAAACAACTTTGCGATAAGTTCTTTTTTAAAAATTACGACAAGGGATTCAGAGATTCTAAATGATACGTTTTTCACCTTTCAGCTTGTATATTCCAACGATAATATCGATTTCACCAATCGAATATCTTATGAAAGTTTATGCCTTGATTTGGTTGTTAAAATATTAAATGTTCGTACTTTCTGTCTCATGTTTTGTTATAATTTAATTCGTGAAACATGGCTGGTGTGATATCTGTGATCGGAATAATAGGAGAACGATTTTGGCTGGAGTGATATTTTTTCATGATAAGTAAGATATGAGCACGATTTTTCAGATAAATTCAAAAGATTATAATGTGAAATGATCAGTTTTTCTATAATTCAATAGTTTTTCATTATATCTTCTCATTAAAAATTTACCAAGTGGTACAATTCGTAAATTTTGCGATAGAAAAGTCTCAAATAAAAATTTTATTTTATCTTTCAACTCGAATATTCTAACGATATATCGATCTCTTCGATTGCTTATTTTATGGACAATCATTGGCCGATTTGTCTGTTAAGGGAATAAATATTCACACTTTCTTTGTCGAGTTTCTTGATATAATTTAATTTGAGAAGTCTGATATTTGTTCGTTTTCACACAAATTAGAATAGATTATGGTGAAAGTTATTCAGATATCGTGAGATGCGGTCGGGTGTGATGTAGGTTTCAGAAAAACATTTTCTTTATCGTGCCAACGTTTCGATTGGGGCACTCTCAGCACGACACGCAAGGATGGCACAATTACACAGAAGACAAACACTTTGAGCCCTGAAGATGATCTCAATAAAGATCGAAACGTTGGCACGATAAAGAAAATGTTTTTCTGAAACCTACATCACACCAGACCACATCCCACGATATCTGAATAACTATCGATTAACGGTCACTAATCTCTACACATTATGGTGAAATTTGAAATAACACAACTTTTTATTTCAATAGCATAGATTTTGATAATGTTTGAGTTGTTTTTGTTTGTCTATTTAAAGTAAACGAAGTCCTAATTTGTATTATATCCTCGTTAAAATTTCAATGGTTCAGAAAGTACATTTTAGGATAGAAAAGTCGAAAAATGAAAATATATTTCATATTTCGACTTTTTTTATTCCAACTGTATATCGATCCATCCAACTGCATATTTTATGAACAATTATCCTCCTTTTTGCAGTTAAGCGATTAATTATACGAAACTTTTTCAAGGTTTTTCTCGTTTAAAAATAATTTTTACATGATTTGTTCGTCACGATATTTCTCCGGTATAATTTTATTACAGACTAATGGGTAAACAAAACTTCCAGTCCTCTTTTCACCCACAGAAGACTGAAACAAACTAAACTGGGTAAACAAAGCAAAATAAACAGCACATTTTTATCTTGTTTTTTGATTACCGTATTGAGTTAAATTAGAGATTTTTTCGTAATATACTAATTTAACCAGCTTCGTCAAAGATTCTGAGCGAAGTGTGAGAAAGGCTGACATCACCGGAAAAATTATTTAAGGTTGCGTTATGACAAAAATTAAAAAG